CCTGTGTCTGGGCTATTGTATGTATTGTATTCAGCCTTCAAAGGGTATGAATACAATTCACCTAAGAATATCAGTGTCAGTCTCTCACGACTAAGAACGATGTGATGTCACAGGGATTACTCAAACAAAAACAACATGGATATTTTGTATCCAAAGAAAATCGAAAAGCTCTTTTCGTCGGAAATCTAATAGAGGGATAGTTTGAAAGCTAAAAATTTCACGAGAGCAGGTACCTCTCAAAGACATGCAAGGTTTATGTTCGTCATTGATAAACAGTTTACAATGGTTTGAGATTCTGACACTAATATTGATTCGCCGTTCGCTCCGTGATCGGGAGGTCGTAAGTTCGTATCTCGACCTAGACTGACCGAGTCGTTAGAATGGGTAGCAACTGTTTCTTCGCCATGCGCTCTGCACTCTGAGGTGAAAGTTGCAGGTCCTTCGGATGAGACCTTAAATACCGAGGCCCCGTGTCAGCGACAGGCGTTTGCACGATAAAGATCCCTCACTGCTCAATGGCCCTCAGTCCCGAGTAAAGATCAAAATTTGAAGCCCTTCACCGGCATACGGGGACGTCTCCATATGAGTGAAAAATTCTCGAGAGCAACGTTAACCAATATTCAATCAATCAATAAATCTAATTGTCATGAAGTTCTTTTAGATTTTGTGCTGGTAGAGAAGAAAATGATAAGCTGTAGAATATACAAAACAAAATAAATTTAATTTAATAATAAAAAACAAACAAACAAAATAAGAAATTAACAAAACAAACACACTCTCACGCACCCTCTCTCACAAAGAAAACAAAATATAATTTTAAAACAAAAACCAGATAATATTGACAATGAAACGAAAGATTTTACTTAAAACAAAATAATTGCCAATAAATCAAATGCTGGTTTTAACAAATCAGATATAATTATATGAGAGGACAAACAAATAACAAAAATTCAGCACTGTAGATTTTTCGCAGAAAAAAAATAACTTTTAGGTAAATAATAACTGTAAATCTGAAATCAGTTACACTATATGAACTTTTCAAGGTTTTATTTCTTTAAAACTGAATAGGAAGTTTGGCTATTCAACTTCGTAGAAAAACAGTTACATCAACCATAACACCACTGGGCCTCCATACTACCAACACTGCGTCCCTCTAGTTCCAGTCCTGAACTCACCGGTCTCCCACTGGATACCACTAAATTTCACTCCCCTCTTTACGGCTATAACCGTCACCATTTCCACTAGTTACACACACGCTGTCTGTGTACACCACGACCTCCGTTGTCAACTTGTTTTGGCCCCCGTCTCGACCAATGCCTCAAATGCACTCCTAAGGTCCTACAACCCACTTCAGCCCGGGTTTAAACTTATAACCCCTCTGCACGGCTGGAGAAAGAAATGTCCATATAGTAATTAACCAACTTCCTGGCTACCCGTTTACCAGACTAACTTCTGGAATTCGCCATGAAACGTGGACTAATGGACAAAATCAAAACGTGGCCGCACTCTTGACAAACAGCCACGACTCTCCCTGACCAAACCGGTTATACTAAAAATAGCTTTATTTCGAACACTCCCAACTACGGAACCAAACTCGGGATATAATTACTCTATTTACACACAAACAAAAAAATACAAAAATTGAGGAGAAAGAAAAATTAATTCAACTTCATCACACACGCCCCCATTTATCACAAAATGTCCATCATTTTGAAATAAATAACTATGAAGTTGAAACCAAAACTAGGATTGTCTAGATAGAAAATCTGCCATCTTGTTGTCCTATCCGGAAATGTGCCGTACTGTGTATTGGTACTCCTGAAGAACCAGGCTCCATCGTAGAAGCCTTGGATTTTCTGATCTCATCGTCTTTAACCATTGAAGTGCACGGTGGTCGGACTCTATAATAAATGCCTTACCGTATAAATACTTTCTAAGGCGTTTAATGGCCCAGACAATTGCAAAACACTCTTTTTCCACTGTAGCAAAACTCTGTTCTCTTGGTAACAACTTTTTGCTTAAATATACAATGGGATGACGTTCTGAATTCTTCTCCTGTAAAAGAACACCTCCTAGTCCTCTATCACTTGCATCGGTTTGCAATACGAACTCTGCATTAAAATCAGGGTTCCATAACAGTGGAGCACTTACCAAATCTTGCTTAAGCTGGTTAAAAGCTTTGTCGTGCTCATTGGTCCAGTTTACTTTATTTGGCTGATTCTTGCTTGTCAAATCGGATAAGATAGCTGACTTGGTAGAGAAATGAGGTATAAACTTCCTGTAAATGTTCATGGATCCTAAAAAAGATCTTACCTCTTTCTTTTTGCTGGGAACAGAAAGATTCAAAATTGCTTGAATCTTCTCTTGTGTTGGGTGCACTTGGCTGTTACCTACCATATGACCCAGAAACTCCATCTGTTGTGACCCAAACTCACATTTTCTTGGATTGGCTGTTAGACCTGCACTCTTTAAGGAATTCAATACTACCTTTATGTGTTCGAGATGACTTTCCCAACTCTCACTGAAAATTATGATATCATCAATAAAAGAATCTGAAAATTGATGATGATCAGCTAGAACTGTTCTTACCAGCCTGTTAAAAGTTGCAGCGGAGTTCATCATTCCAAATGGCATAACCGTGAATTGGTAATGGCCAAATGGAGTTACGAACGCACTTTTCTCCTTTGCATTATCGTCTAGACTAATTTGCCAATACCCTTTAGTTAAGTCTAGCTTACTTAAGTACTTTGCCTTTCCCAGTCTATCAATTATATCCTCTATCTGTGCATTAGGTTCAGGGTCAAATTGTGTTACTTGATTTAGTTTTCGGTAGTCAACACAAAACCTAATGGTTTTGTCCTTCTTAGGGATTATGACAACCGGTGATGCATAAGGACTTACCGAAGTTTCCACAATGCCTGCCTCTAACATTGACGATAACTCTTTCCGTACTTCGTCTCGTATAGCATGTGGAATTTGGTATGGTTTCTGTCGCACTGGACTGTCATTCGTAGTCACCACCTGATGTTTCAACACCGTAGTTCTCCCTGGAACATTGGTAAGGACTTCACCATATCCTTCCAGACAGTCCATCAGTTCTGTTTTCTGTTGACTAGACAACGACTCATCAATCTTCACGTCTCTGAAAGTGTCCCGATGATCAATAAGTGGATTTCCAATCCAGTCGTTATCATCGTCCACATTCTCTGCTATACATACCCCTGCCATCGCTTGAGGTTTCATCTCCTCCTCTCTGTCAAACCAACGTTTGAGCATATTCACATGATATACCTTAGTAACTCCGTTGTCATACTTCACTTTGTAATCTACAGGACTTACTTTCTCTGTTACCTGAACAGGTCCCTTCCACTGAGCTAAAAGCTTCTTTGTACTAGTTGGTAATAAAACTAAGACTTTATCGCCGACCTCAAATGATCTGTTTCTAGCATTACGGTCGTAATACCTTTTCTGGTCTGTTTTGCTAGCTTCCTCTTTTTCTGACACAAGGTCTGCCATCTTGGCCAACTTTTCCCTTGTCTCCATTATGTAGCTGATCACAGACGGTTGTAACTCTTGACTTTCATCTTCCCCATCGATGCTGTCTCTTAGGATTGCCAATGGACCTCTCACATGTCTCCCATACAACATCTCAAAAGGTGAAAATCCTGTTGATTCCTGTGGAACCTCTCTGTATGCAAATAGGAGGTATGGTAATAATTTGTCCCACTTGCCTGATTCATCCTGAGCGTAGATCTGTAGCATTCGTTTCAGCGTCCCATTAAACCTCTCAACTAGGCCATTTGCTTGAGGATGATAGGGAGTGGTCTTCAACTTACGTATGCTTAGTAGTCTACATAATTCCGACATCAGTGATGACATGAAGTTAGTGCCTTGATCAGACAAGATCTCTTTTGGCACTCCAACACGTGAGAACACCTCTACCATCGCTTCTGCCACAACTTCTGCTTCCTGACTCCGTAGAGGTATTGCTTCAGGGTATCGTGTAGCATAGTCGCAGATTACAAGTACATATTGATTACCTCTTTTGGTCTTTGGTAACGGCCCAACCATATCCAAAGCTACCCTTTCAAATGGTTCATCAATCCTTGGAATCTGGACTAGAGGAACTTTGCTTACCTTGCTTTTTGAAGTCCCCTTTTGACACTTAGGACAAGATCGACAGTATCTCTTGGTGTCGTCAAAGATTCCTGGCCAGAACAAATGCTTAAGTATTCTCTCTCTGGTTTTCTTTATACCAAGGTGTTAGGGCTGGGTATTGGCCCAAGATTTTGTATTGCGATATATTGCAATCTCTCTATTTTCAATGGTTTTCTTTAAATTTACTTTTATTTACATGCAGGTGACCTGCCATGTTTGGCTTAATAACAAAATTTCATAAGTCCATTTTTATATTTAATGACTCCTTAATAAAAAAATATTGCCAGATAAAATCTATTGCGATCTATTTTTTGTCATTGTATTGCAATATATTGAAATATCGATATTATTGCCCTGCACCACCAACTGCTTCGGAATTTAGTTGGCACCACCAACTGCTTCGCCATCTCTTCAGTCGGTGATCTAAAATTCCTATAAAGCATACCTTTATCAAGTGTAAGGAAACTTTCCTCTCCCTCAGGAATCACATCTACAACCCTCTTCCTGTAGGAATCTAAAGTAGTATCCTTCTGCTGCTCCTGAATCCAGTCTTCTTTTGAGAAATCTTGATCAAAGTAATGCTTAGTGTCCAACACTTCCGGTTCTTCACATCTTTCTTGGATGCCGCCCTAGTTACTACTGCATCACATTTTGCCTTACCTGGATCTAACGAAGCTGTCTCTTTGTCAACAGGGATGTCTACACGAGTATAGTTTCATATAATAAGATCTGCAAAAGGCGTATTCATTACCAAAGCCACCACCTTACCTGTGACATAAGGCGTCTCGACTTCAACCCACACTTCCGGACATTTCTCTAAATATCCATTTGCAAGAGTAACCTCACTCTCCCCTTATTAAATCGTCTTTCCTGATCAACTTCTCTGCCACTAGGATTGAAGTGCATCCTGTGTCTCTTAAAACAGAAGCTTCCTTACCATTCACCCTTCCAGTCTCAATTTTCAGCCCACTACACTTGTCTCCATAACTCACCTTCTTTGATTCAACAACAACTGGTATTTCTAAATCACAACCCTTCCTTGTTGGCGAGTGAATCAATCCTACTTTACTCTTACCTTCAGTAGGTTGCAATGTCTTTGGCTTTTCTACCCATTGTTTCCCCGACTTTAGATCCTTATCACTGGATTTACGTAACGGACAAGTGTTTATAAAATGTCCAGTCCTCTGACACATAAAAGACCTGTTTTCTACATTGCTTTGCTGAGTTGGCTGAAATTTAAACTTACCTTTATTTTCCTTTAAGGTACTAGTGGGTTGCATTTTATTCGTTACCACTGAACCACGATGTGCATTCTGGTAGGCTTCAGCGAGCTCGATCATTTCATCTGCTGATTTTGGCTGCCTCTCTTTCAACCACACCTGCAAATCCTTAGATGAACTATTGACCAACTGCTCTCTCAAAATCACATCTACCAACACATCAAATCTTTTGTTAACTTTTTCTAACTGACACCAGTGCTCAAAATGGTTAAGAGCCCGAGTATAAAACTCTCTGAAGGTTTCATTTGGATATTGTTTACAAGATCTAAACTTATCCTTGTACGTGCTAGCTGTCAAATCATACCTTTTTAGTATTGCCTTCTTGATGATGTCATAATCAGTAGACTCTTCTTCCCCCAACCGTGCATATGTATCCAGCGCCTTACCTGTTAATTGAGGAACTAGTCGCAAAGCCCATTCAGGTTTCGGCCACTTATGCAGATTTGCAAGTCTTTTAAAAGATCTGAGAAACACATCTATATCCTCACCTTCTACATACTTAGGTAGCAAATACTTTACCTCATGCTTCTGCTCTTTTCCCTGTGCTTCGAATAGTGTACCTTTAGATTTCAGCTCTTGTTCCTGTAAATCTAATTCTCTCATTTTTACCTGTAACCTCTTTTCCTCCATATCTTTTTCAATAAGCTGCCTCTTTTCCTCCATGTCCTTCTCCAGTAACTGTTTTTTCTCTTCTGCTTCTTTTTCCATAGCTAATTTCTGCATTTCCATTTCTTGTCTCTTCTCTTCCCTCCTTTCCATACGCTCATCTCAATCAAGTGCAGATGCATGCTTCCACAATTCAAGACACACTGACAAATCTTGACCCTTATCAACTGCATCTTGAATCCAACTAGGCAACGGCATTGTAACCAGACACAAGATAAATAAAAGTGACTAGCCAAAAAAACTTCCAATCCACTGAAAATACGAATAACAAAAATTAAACTGATTACAAAATATTTTTTCTGCGATACAACAATATTCTACTGAATATCTTTTTCTCAATACCAGTCACCACAAAATCCCACCGCTGCCACCATATGTCATGAAGTTCTTTTAGATTTTGTGCAGGTAGAGAAGAAAATGATAAGCTGTAGAATATACAAAACAAAATAAATTTAATTTAATAATAAAAAACAAACAAACAAAATAAGAAATTAACAAAACAAACACACTCTCACGCACCCTCTCTCACAAAGAAAACAAAATATAATTTTAAAACAAAAACCAGGTAATATTGACAATGAAATGAAAGATTTAACTTAAAACAAAATAATTGCCAATAAATCAAATGCTGGTTTTAACAAATCAGATGTAATTATATGAGAGGACAAACAAATAACAAAAATTCAGCACTGTAGATTTTTCGCAGAAAAAAAATAACTTTAGTTAAATAATAACTGCAAATCTGAAATCAGTTACACTATATGAACTTTTCAAGGTTTTATTTCTTTAAAACTGAATAGGAAGTTTGGCTATTCAACTTCGTAGAAAAACAGTTACATCAACCATAACACCACTGGGCCTCCATACTACCAACACTGCGTCCCTCTAGTTCCAGTCCTGAACTCACCGGTCTCCCACTGGATACCACTAAATTTCACTCCCCTCTTTACGGCTATAACCGTCACCATTTCCACTAGTTACACACATGCTGTCTGTGTACACTACGACCTCCGTCGTCAACTTGTTTTGGCCCCCGTCTCGACCAATGCCTCAAATGCACTCCTAAGGTCCTACAACCCACTTCAGCCCGGGTTTAAACTTATAACCCCTCTGCACGGCTGGAGAAAGAAATGTCCATATAGTAATTAACCAACTTCCTGGCTACCCGTTTACCAGACTAACTTCTGGAATTCGCCATGAAACGTGGACTAATGGACAAACTCAAAACGTGGCCGCACTCTTGACAAACAGCCACGACTCTCCCTGACCAAACCGGTTATACTAAAAATAGCTTTATTTCGAACACTCCCAACTACGGAACCAAACTCGGGATATAATTACTCTATTTACACACAAACAAAAAAATACAAAAATTGAGGAGAAAGAAAAAATTAATTCAACTTCATCACACTAATATTGATTCAAAAGAATCAAAATGGGAGTAATATAACATCTACCCCTTTTCAAAAACTGGGATACTGTCCGTATCCATCAAATTTGAAGTAAAAAAACATCGATATTTGAATTTATATAAATTATGTTCAAATAGGAAATTAATTCGTCTTAAGGTATGTGATTAATTTGCCTAGCGCTTGCAACACATTAAGGTTTAATATTTTAAATTCCTTGTTAATCCAAATCTAATCTCAGTTTAAATGGAAATAGTTACTCCAGAAATCCATATTTATTCTTACAAAGCTTTGCTGGAGAAATTACCTCCTCTCAAAACCAGAACTTTGGTTTCAAAGTCTATGACCTCTTGGAAAAAGACACAACTAGCACATCTTCAAATTTATAATCAATTGAGGTAAAAGGTCCTGCTGCTCAAATAAAGACCTTTAATTGTAAGGAAAAAAGATTCTTTATTTGTGACAACATCAAAGCCATCCCTATCGATCTCCAGGGGTTTAAACGTCGCGAGGCCGTAGATAATAACATGAATTTCATTGTAGAATCAATTACCTGGGAATTTTTAAGATTTCTAGATTAGTCCGACTGAGACTTAATCAGACCAAAGCCAAATTCTTCAACATATGTGACACAGAAGTAAGTACAAAAACGTGTGAATAGTGAGTATGAAATTGTAGTTGAAAAATTAAACCTACGGCAGTTATGAGAAATGCCATATTGAAAAAATATCTTTCGGCAAGAGTAGAAGTCAAAACGTGTACCATTTGGGGAGGGGGGTTAAATCTAGACACATCGATCAAACTTCCTTTAGTTTAAAAAAGGAGGGGTATTTAAACAAGTTATCAGTGTGGATAATAGGGACATCGACAATGAAACATCTGGAGCACATGGAGATAACGAACAGTATCCAAGATAAAAAGTCCCTAAAGCAATTCAAACAGTAGCAAAACAAACACATAGCTCCAAAATATCATAGATGGGATCAGGTGCCATGGAAGAGTGAGAATCCCCTGCCGACCGGTCACAACTGCCGTGTGCTCCTTTTCATGATCAGGAAATAACGGAAAAATATTTTGTAAATTCAGTGTTTAAATAATTGACTAACAATAAGTATGAAAACGTTATCACCTTCATCATACGGATTTTATATATCCCAGCTGATTCCATATGCTCAAGTGTGCTCTACGTATACAGTATTTCTAAAATGAGGTTAATTATTAGAAAAACAAAGCGATAAACAAAAATGTCAACTGTCTCATTTAAAGCAATCATTTCGTAATTTCTATGGTCGATACAAATTAATGGTCAATGACAAATAAAATACAATTTATCATTAATTTGAATGCTGACTGGCCGTTTTCATACTTATCTATAGTCCATTATTTATACACTGAATTGACGACGGATTTTACGTTGTTTCCCGATTATGACAAAGAGTACACGCCGAGTGTGACCGGTCGGCTTGGGATGTTTACTCCTTCATGGCCCCTCAACCTTCCTCTGATGTTTTGGAGGTCTGTATTTGCTCTGCTCCTTTTTTGTACTGTTTTCAGTTATCTATCAATTTGAATCATTAAGCATAGGATTTGTCGGATGCAGAATATGCTTGTGCGACATCTGCCTTATATGTGAATAAAACATATTTTAAATTCAAAAATATCAACTTAACTACCAGCCGTTACTTGTTTACTATTGATAACTGGCCCAGGTATTGTTTGCTATTCAATTAAAGTTTTTTTTTAAATAAATTATATCAAAGTTTTCATCAAAAGTAAATTAGTTAATATTGTAAATTAAGATATATAGACTCTTTACAAAAAATAATACAGAAATTTGTGTGAAACAAAAATGATTAAATAATTTGATCTTTACATGTTGTGTTAAAATATAGATAATAAATTTTTAATTAATAGAGTAGATAGTTAATAACTTTGTTTTGATATAAGTATTTTTCAGTGTTATACGTTTGCATTCATGGAAAGTGAATTTTATACCAGGCACCCTACCTCACTCCATTAACTTTAGTGATCAATATAATCGTTTCGACATTGTTACGTGAAACCTGTATTCGAATTAAGGTTTTACTTTCTTAATAGAGTAAATGATTATTTCAATTTACACTTTATAAGCATTTGTCAATGATAAATTGTGTTTGCTGACAAGGTCATTGTATTAAAATGATCATAGAACTTTTTAAATGATGACTTTAAACGATAAAATTACTGTTAACCAACGGTTCGCGAGAGCCTTGTCATCGCAAATATTTCTCGCAGCGAACCGGTCCTTATAGTAGATTTGTCTATCAATAACAGATGCAAAAAAGGCTTTATCTCGAAAAATAATTGTTGCAAACTACTGCAGATCACTAAATTTTTGCGAAACCTTATTTTTGCGAGATAGTCATTGACTCTTTGTTTGCGAGATATAATTTTCACGAATTGTTGTTTTTCCTCTATATAATCGTAAATGAATACTTTTAGACGTGAGAATGAAATTTCCGCGAGCCCATTGTCTCGCGTAAATACGCGAAAAAACGTAATTTACAGTAGTTTATCCCAGGTTAATCGCTAAATAATATCGTCGCGAATAAAGGTTGGTTTACAGTATAATAATATCTGATTCCCACAGGTTAGTCCATGTATATTATTTAAGCGGGGTATGTATAACATGGGTGTTTTTCTGCCCCTGGCATATATAATTTTATAAATTATGGCACAAAAACTACGCAACAAATTAACTAGTTAAATTCTTATCATTTTGTATTACATTTTGAATTCTGAGGTTAAAAAAATCCGGACAACCATGAAATCACCATGAGGCGCGTACGGTGAGAAAGCTTTACTGTGGTGATGTTACCTGAGTATTCAGTACATCATATCTGATGCTTTTTTTTTAAATCTACTTCTAAACTTGATACAAGGTCTGCAGTAGATTACAGTAATAGGTTGTGAGTCATACGATTTTATATCATAGGGGGAATTTATTTTACTGCGTAGTCGCAATATTACAAGGTAAGATATTTTGAAGAGTTCAGACCTTATATATAATTATATAAACTATAATAAAAAAAAAATGAATTTGTATGCAAAAATAAGGAAGTTCACATTGGTCCATTATTGGCCCTGTGAATTTCTGAAAAATCAGAAGTACTCAGTTTTAGTTGAAACAATGTTACACTTTCTCGTTCACCCTTGGTGACTTCATATCAAATAAAAATAATGTAATTTTTTCTCTTGTCTATGTATTATGACGTCATGAATTTCGTCATATTCCTCAAATCTTGAAAATTTCGTTAAAAATGACCAAACATTTAAAGCTGTTTTTTTTTAATATTTTGCATAGCCCCCAACCTCCGATCTAAAATAATGAATTATATACTGAAGGAACTGTTTCAGAAGAATTTAATCCATGAAAGAATTTTTGGATCGCTCATATTTTTATCAAAAGTAGAAGATGCTCAATTTTACCCATTGCAGTTTCACAACGCCTGAGTTTCCAAACTTGGACTCTCAGAGGAATTTTTTTTATAGAAAATGAAAGCACTAAGTCTCTACTTTATATTGATGATCGAAATAGGACATAAGGACTTGGTCAGTTAATTGGTATATTGACAGGGCAATTTTATGGAGTACATGAACCTGTCTCTTTAACGACATTTCTGTATTTTAGCACAGATTGTATAC